TGTATTATTAGAGAAAATATCAAACTCTGTGTCTAAAAGTAGTATAACGTCTATTTTGTCTTCCTGCAGAGCCTGCAGTCGACTAACTGGCAGACGATGAGGTTCAAACCTCCACCTCCCAACTCCGACATTGGCTGGAGAGTCGAGTTTCGTCCCATGGAGGTAAAAAAAAAACGCACTGTTACTTAACTTAGACTTATATTGTAATTTTTGCTTTTATTTGGTAACATGGCTTTGCAAATACAAAAACAGAAATGATAGTAAGTTGCGTTTGACTTTTCAGGTGCAGCTCACTGACTTTGAAAACGCTGCATATGTGGTCTTCGTCGTCCTGCTCACCAGAGTGATCTTGTCCTATAAACTTGACTTTCTGATCCCTCTGTCAAAGGTAAAAAAACAGCCGCACTGCCTAGTTCTTTGTAAAAGTGTGTGTATATATACTTTGCACAGGGTGCTCTGATACATCAACTGTCTTTCATCAGGTCGATGAAAACATGAAGGTAGCACAGAAGAGAAACTCAGTCCAGGAGGGCATGTTCTATTTCCGAAAGGACATCTTCAAAGGTGGGTAAAAAAAAAAAGTGTAACTTTATGTTGATTCTTAAAGGGACTAATATTATACAAAATCACCATTTGTATATCACCTTGTGTAACCTTGGAAGTTGTGTTCATACATTTAAGGTAACATGGAGAGTAATTGATTTAAGAATAGTCTTTTTGGGGGTGAAGTATTTCTTTAAAGTGAGTAAACAGTGGTTGATCCATTCTGATTGTCCATCAATAGGCTGCAACCCGGGCCTTGATGGCGCTGCCACGGCTGAGAATGGCCTGGACACTGATGGTGGGAACGAGGAGTACACACTGATGAGCATCGACACCATCATCAACGGAAAGGTGATTATTTCTCCTTAATATATCTCAACAACTATTGGATATGTTTGCATTCATTTTTGTTAAGACATTCATGGTCTCCAGAGGATGAATCCTAAAGACTGGTATATAAATCTAACAATTACTGCTGTTTTTATCACTAGGAGGGAGTATTTCAAGGGCTTATCCCTATCCTTAACTGCTACCTGGAAAACATGGAAGTGGATGTGGACACAAGGTGCACCATTTTAAACTATCTGAAGCTCATCAAGAAGCGTGCCTCAGGTAAACTTGTATTTAAAAAAAAAAAAAAAAAAATGTTCTTAATATCCAGAAGCAGATTTTCTGTTCCTATAGCTTCAACTCTGCGCGTGACTCTTACTTTTCTGATCTGAAACAGGCGAGCTGATGACCATGGCCAAGTGGATGAGGGAATTTGTTGCCAAGCATCCACAGTATAAGCAGGACAGCGTCCTCACTGACAAGATTAACTACGACCTGTTCCAGAAGTGCGACAAGATAGCAAAAGGGGAGGAGCAGTGCCCGGAGCTCATTGGAAACCCAGTGAACAGGTTCAAATGAGAGGCTGCAGAAAGACACCGTCAATATTCAAATTTGCATGTAAAGGAAGACCAAATGTGTGGCTCATGACAGCGGTCCAATTTGAACAGAATGCAAAACTGCATGTGTGTTGTGAAAAAACACCTGCATCAAATGTTTGTATATATACTGTATCAGATTGTTATGATTACAGAATTATTTTAATAGGGTTAAGACATGCTTACGGTTGTGTAATAGAAATCAGATGTGTATTTATTTTTCTCTGGAAATTAAGTCTATCTGTGTGTGAGAATGTAAATGTAGCAAAGAGTTGTACAGTAGTCTGCTTTTAACCTTGAGTTCTATAAATACTGTATTTCCTCTCTTTAAAACATCAACTTCATGGGCCTTTTTTGTAATTCTAGATTGGAGCTTTCTTTGCATTTGGTAGAGGGTTTTTTTCATTTTCAGAGAAATCTTTGCTTTGCTCTGCTGACGTGGTAATGGGACCTTGAAAGAAGTGAAGCATTGTTTGAAATGTGATGCTGCTTTAAAATAAATCTGCACAAGATTAAAGATATAGTATTAAATGTGTTTTTTATTCTAAATGAGCCGTATGACGATTAACAGGTCCTAAAAGCAATCCAAATAGCCGCATTACACTCCTACAAGAATGCCGGTCGTCAGAATATCTTCATTTTTAAATACTGGTTAGCAGCCAGGACACGATGTTTGCCTCAACATGTTCAGTGTGAGAATTTGCTTGCATTCTATTATAAAAAACTTTAAAATTGTATATGCAGATGGTGCAAGAGCCTTCGGGTGACTTTACCTTGCCTCCCCTCCCCTGAAGAGGTCAAAGGTCAGGGTGAGATCATAAGTCCTGAAGCAGTTGGAACTGCGCCTCTTCACATTCTTACCACTAAAATAACTTTATATTATCTAGTAAAGGAAAAATAATGCAGCCCTTGTTTAAGCTACTTCAGCATGTTACCATAATCTTACTGAGATGTCATGCTAATCTTCAATGTCATTTAAGCGTGTGAGCATGCTAGCATTACAAAATTGCCTGGGCGAGCCAAATCTGCACTAAAAGCCTTGCTAACCAAATATGGTGCCCATCTCAGCCTGTATCATATATAGTAGACAAACTGTACATTGCTATCCCCTCAAAAACATAGTAGCAGATACATTTCCTGGTGATCTTGGAGGTTAAAATAGTTTATTTAAAAAAGAAAAAACTATATGAATTCATCAATCTAGAAAATCCAGGCCCTTTCATTGACCATTTAGAATGAAGAGCCTCTTTTGGAAAAAAATGTAAATACTACATAAGTATACCAGTGCATTTCATTTTTGTTATATCTAACAGCCAATACCTGAACACTATTATCCACAAGGTGGTGCTAAAGAATCACAGCTTTACATAATACTGAGCTGCAGGGGGAAATGAGAGCATCAGTTTGACCTTGTGGACCAGATAATGATTATGGATAGTACATCCTGCCGAGAGACAAGAAACAGACAAGTTAAAGCACACGCAAAATGAAGGCATATTAGAAGAATATAGTGACTAGAGAACAGCCATGTAGTAGTTTGTTGTAAAGCTCACAAATGCAAAGAAAAAACATTACAGAGAATCGATACGTGAGGTTTAATGTGATTTGTTTTAATATGCAGCAGGTCAGTGAATGTTAGAACAGCCATCTGTCCCCACTAATCCTGAGGGAGAAACAGGCCGTTTTTCCCAGCAATATTTTGACCTGTAATAGAAAGCACAGGTGTTACTAATAACAATAATGGCTCTGTTCTATTTGACTGTGTAAGCTAGTGACAGTGATACAGCATGCACAATACAAGGACTCTAAAACTGAAGCATTTTAATTATAATACATTTCATTATTTACACCTGTGCCTTTTCCAGGACAGTTCATAATGTCAATGTGCTGATGCTGTATGTACACTGAATGTTTTACTATTTTTTAAACAAAGAAAGTCAGTCATGGTAGACCATTAGAAACATATGCCTTCAGAGTTACACAAAGTCTGCAACATAACTTTGAGTGAAATGTTGTTATCCAAACACACCTCTGAGTTAATCATCAGGGTCTTGTAACCATAACCCTCTTTCAACAAGATTAATCAAACTGAGGTTGCTCTACTTGTCAATGTTATCATACAAATCATATCCATGATGTAAAACTATGTAGTATGTAACCCATAGAATTATCCTTTTATTATTTATTGTCTTACAGCTTACTCTTTTTATTTTCCGGCTCAAACTTTTTAGTGTTTGATTCAAAGGGCAATTCCATGCAATCAATATTCTGTAATGATTCTGGGTTGAATCCATTGATGAAGTTTATGAGTGGGAAAGTGATATCAGGTGTCCCCTAACTGTCTCAATAAAGGAAGAAGAGGACAATAACTTTAGTGAAATGTACTACTTTAACTACATATTTTAGTTATTTTTCTTGGCCCCAGGTTGTCTACATGCCTGGAGAAGGGGGAGGTGAGTGGATGTTCAGTTGGTTGCAATCTGCAACTACACTCTTAGATGCAGTGTTGGAAGGAGTACTCAGATCCTTTACTCACATAAAAGTAGAAATACTATGGTCTTAAAATACTCCATTACAAGTAAAAGTCGTGATTTCAAAATGTGACTTAAGTAAAAGTACAAAAGTATTATTATCAAAATATACTTAATGTACAAAAAGTAAAAACTACTTATGCAGAATGGATCTTTTCACGTGATTTTTATTGATCCTGTTTTTATACATATAAGAGCATTTTAGTAATGTAGTTTATCAATGTGGACCAAATTCAGATACAATTGTAAACTTAAATACTGTGTAGATTAGTAGTACAGTAGGCTACTGCATTATACCAGATTATCATATCTTTTTTTGAATATATACAAAGTAATTTTGAGTGTTAAAATAAATGTAGTAGAATAAAAAGTACAATGGGTGCAGAGTACGAGTGTAAATTAGCATTAAATGAAAAATACTCAGGTAAATACAAATATGTCATAGTATTAAAAAGAAATGTTATAATTGACCCTTTGCAGCAGCCCTTTTACAGTACTCACATCCCTCGTTAATAATTGACAAGAAGCCTATTTCCTACTATCTACTTAAACAGCTTTAATGTCATCCTTCTGGCTCGGTGTGGCTGCAGCACTCCGGGTCGCCTCCGGTCTGTGGCTCCGGGCTGTGGCTCCTGCAGGCACCGGGCCAGGCTGCTCGGTCCTCCCCTTATTTTCCGCTGAGCGACAGGCGGCTCATTGTGCTTGCACTCGCTCTCTCTCTCTCTCTCTCGCTCGCTCTCTCTCTCTCTCTCGTCTCTCTCCTCTCTCTCTCTCGCTCTCTCTCTCTCTCTCTCTCTCTCTCTCTCTCTCTCTCTCTCTCATCTCATCTTCTCCTCTCTCTGCGTCTCTCTCTCTCTCTCTCGTCTCTCTCTCTCTCTCTCTCTCTCTCTCTCTCTCTCTCTCTCTCTCTCTCTCTCTCTCTCTCCCCCCCCCCCCCCGCCTCTGAAGGTAGGCTGTCCGCGGCACACAGCTGCCTCTCCACATCCACACTCCACATTCGCAGCGACCGGGTGGTGACTTTATGGTGAGGCTTTCTAAAAATAATATTTTTTTTTTTTTAAAGGAAAATAATTATGTTGCGATGTGTTTGAGTGATGCTGAAGCGGTGACCTCTATCCTGGATGCGATCGACAGGATGCGATAAGTGTTTTTTTAATTGATTCCTCTGTGGAAGTTATCAAATTAGAGCATGATGTAATGAGATAACTGCTGTCACATCTTTACTTTACGGGCTGCTGCTTTACCCCGAGCAGGAGTACAGAGTGTAGTTTTGTGATGGAATGGATGGGAAATGATACAGTATTCTAGGGTAAATCAGCGGTATGACGAATAATTTACACTAAATTGCAATGTTTTTTGTCATGCATTTGCTAAACTGCATCATATTGTCAAAATACTATAAGACTCAAGCAGCCGAATGCTGCAGCATAATATATTGTTACATTATTAGACTTTATATACTTTTTAGTGTTGCTTTTGTGGCTGTTTTAGGGCTGGCTTGCAATTTTGTTTCAGGAAACTTCTAGAGAGCCATTCAAATATGCTATACTACAGTATAGACTACACTCAGGCACTGTAATTATATGTATTTAGAGTTTGATTATGGTCCTGTTGTTTTTCTATCTATCTATCTATCTATCTATCTATCTATCTATCTATCTATCTATCTATCTATCTATCTGTCTGTCTGTCTGTCTGTCTGTCTATCTGTCTGTCTGTCTATCTGTCTGTCTGTCTATCTATATTCAGGGCTCAGGACATGAGAAATAAATACACATAACATTACCATATATCTACTGTTTATTTTATATCAGGATATATCAATCTCAATAGAGTCAAATGTATTTACAAATAAACTGTGAAACTGTTTCTTATAAACTGGTAAATGAACTGGTTTTGTTTAATCCAGTCCATTTATAAACACAAACATGTAAATCATCACCTGAGGATGAATGATAGTCCCGCTAATTGATTTGCTGACTTTTACATTGACTGTTGGATTAAATCATTATGAGCTGCAGTGATGAAACAATTTGTTTTGACCAAAATCCAGATGATGCATTAGTGTTTCTCTGATTGTTCAGACGTATTTTACATAGCTCCAGCATGTAGCTTGCACAGCCTGCTAACATGCTCTCTGTTGTGGCTCAGCGCGCTCTGATTAAGGCCTGGCAGATTATCATGTTTTGGTGCAGCCTAATGCATCTCTTATAATCAGAGCACGGATATTACTGTTCTGATTCTGACCAGACTTTGACCGTTTTTTGTATGCGATTTGTTGACTGGGCAGCAGTGCATTATATGATTAAACTCTATATCTGGACATACAATTCTAATTTTAATTGGGACATATATTCCACAATGTTTACAAGTCATTTGTTTCAGAAAATACCATGTAAAAGTATTGTTAATTTTGAGCTATTGTGCAATTCAGATGATTAAAATATACAGCAAACAATTATTCTTCGGATGGGTTGAAGTAAATGTATTAAATGCATGTAAACAAGTCACTGCTGTGCCCATTCAGTTATGTTAGTCATATTATAATATCATATTACTTTATGTAAAAGCCACAGATTGAATTGAGATGCTTAAGCAACATTTGATAGATGGACTCGCATTTCTGTCTGTGAAGTAGGCATTTTGTTAATATGTTTTTTATCTTCCCCTCATACAATCTGACTGAAGTGAAATGATTGTACCCAACTGCATTCAAAATCAGATTTGTTGATTAGATATTTTAGATTTTGTTCAAGAGATACTGGAGGAACATACCAATGCAGAATTGCATATGGCCCTCGGTCACATAAGAGTCAATATATCTCATAACTGCAGAAGGAAGCATGACATCAGTAAGATAGATCATACAGAATGTAGTCCATGTTTTCAAGCAGCAGACGCAGCTGTAGAAACTCTCCGGTGGTGCAGCAGACTGAGATGTTACTACTAAATTAAATGTGTAACTTGGAATGAAGAATTTCTGTGGTTGTAAGGAGGCAACTGTGCAATGCCTGAAGTGAAAATGAAATGAAGTGCAAATACTTCTGGGATGATAATGAATTGCCTGATGGTTACAGGTTTACAGCGAGAAAATCAGCAGCAGGGATTGGTCGTGTCTTTGATTGGCAGTGTAAATGATCCTTTCATAACTTTACATGAGATCTCTTCTTCGCAAAGGAAAATGTCCACTCCCTAATTTAAAGGAAGTGAGTTCCTCTATTGTTTAAACATGAATCTTGAGAATCTTGAATCTTTTAACAGTTTAAAAAACACATTTGAACAGTTGACGAACAAATAATAACTTAAAACTTCTTTGAGTGAGAACAAATTATCCAGCGGTGAACATCCAGCAGACATTCATACAGTCGGGTGAAGGGCTTATGCTTAATATCACAGGGGTCACCTGACTGTCACCTGCATGGTGGTGGAATCGAATACTACATTGTATATTAAATATACTGATTATGGAAAAAGTACTCTTACAGAAAATACTATACCTTTTCTAAAACTGCACTAAGATTTAGACACGTTTTGTCAAATGTAGTAACACTGCCTGGGCTGGACAACATTGTGTGATTAATACACGGAAAACATTTCATTACCTTCAACAACTCGAAGAATCACTGTACAACATCTCTAAGTGTACATTGATGATGTAATTATCCCCACCTGGCAGCTGGCTTCTTGTTTTACAGAAGTGGCCTCCTTGTTCCGTTATTTGAAACCACAAGATGTGAAGAATTAGTTTGTGGGACATGGGACGTTGTAGAGAGCGTGAGGCGGACAGACATGGTGCACAAACATTCATTTAACTGTTGCTCCTTTCAGGCTAAAAAATGCACTGGGGAATCACATTTGTTTCAGATTATGAGTCAAAAGGAACATCTAGCAACCTATAACTTCAGCTAAATTCCAAACCCATTGGTGGTATTTGATGCATCAAGGAGAAAAATTGTTTCCAAATCTGACTGCTTTAGTGTATTATTTTAAATGAGAAAGAAAACACATTTATGTTAAACAACATTAGAATGGACATAACTCAAATTTTATATGCAGTGATATGTCAGAAAGTCTTCAATGTTCAATTGTTAAAGCAAATAATTAGACATTTTCAGTCATTCTATAAAGCTGAAAATGATTCCATATTCTGTTTATTTACATTCATCGCTTGGATAATAAAAAGACTCCAAATAAATACTCGCGTTGGACTGTATGCGTAAATAGGCTAGTGTTTGTTAACACATCGCTATATCAACTTGACATGATATCATACCATATTCATGCTGCTTTAAATCATTATTTTGCTTTTCATTTTGTTTTTAGGTGACAAATGGAGACCTTTAATCATAAACTGAACACTTACTTAGAGTCATGGATGGGTCCCAGAGGTAAGTCCTCTTTTGCCTTAATTTGACTTGTTTTGCTGTTGTCTTGAATGTGTTGTCCACCAACATGTTGCATACGATATGTTTATCGCAAAATCTCAGCAAAGTCATACACTTGAATGAGGTGTTACCTAAAACTCTTGATCCCAGGCGTTCATTACATGCTGTTCAACTCTTTACCTTCTGGCTGGTAACCATTCTAGGTTTTGAGCAAACATTCCACAGTGCACTGCTGCTGCTTTTCTTATTTGAACTTCATCTGCTGTTGCCAATGAGGAACTTATCAAGGGTGAAAACTGGCCTCTCAATCTTCATATTTCAGATCAGCGGGTGCAAGGATGGCTGCTGCTCGACAACTACCCACCAACCTTTGCCCTCACAGTCATGTACCTCCTGATCGTGTGGATGGGGCCCAAGTACATGAAGCACAGGCAGCCATACTCCAGCAGAGGCCTCCTGGTGCTCTACAATCTGGGCCTCACACTCTTGTCCTTCTACATGTTCTACGAGGTAAACATAGAGAGCGGCATAGAGAGATGTGCTGAAGTAGGCCGAAGCAATCACTGCAGTGTCACACTAAGGACATATTACGAAAACAAACTGACCTATATCTGAGCCTCACTCAAATTCTAGTGCGTGAATATTACCAGAAATATATGAATGTTTAATTAAATAAATACTTTGCTTCTTAGACAGAATTAAGACTAATAGGCTACCACTTAAATATGAAACAACAGCCATGAGCTGGTTAGCTAAGCTTAGCATTAACTCTAGGGTAGAGGAAATGTTACTAGCTTTAATCGTATTTAGTTCAAAAACAGAATGTAAAAACAACTAGATGCGTTTGATGTGCCTCTAATTCTTTGCTAGACCGTTTTATCAAGGGTGACATTGAATTAGACCATTACCAATCTCTGCTTTCTGGTAATTTTGAAGCTACCTTAGCTTACCTTAGCCTAAAAAATCAAAATAAACCAGCAATTTGCTACTTTTACACTTTGATGTTTGCATTGCATCTTTGTGTTAAGCTTAACCGCTTCTGGCTACAGCTTGATGTGTAGCGTACAGACATGTAGCCTAAGTGGTATCGCTTCGTGTAAAGACAGTAGGGCCTAGGCCAAAAGAGTTTTTCCAAAACTGTTCCTTTAAACATTAAGCTAAAGTCATGACTGCTAGCCTGGCTCTGTCCAAAGATAACAAAGTATTTATTCCAACACCTCTAAAGCTTTACAATATATCTTGCACACTCACGCTACCAAACAGTTTTTGTTCTTGCTTAGCTAAGCTAATAGATGCATCTTTATATTTAGCAGACAGATATGAGATCTCCTCATGTAACTCTCAGCAAGAAATATGCATTCTCCCCTAAAATCTATGTCTATTTCTTTAACACTTGACTCTTCTTAGGCCCCGGCCACACGAGGACGAAAACGGCTAAACGCATAGGATTAACGCAAACGCAAACGCAATCGCAAAAAGCCTTCCGTCCACACAAAATAGACACCGGAAAGTTTCTGTCCACACGAGACAGCTCCGTTTAGCTCCAACCGCTGGAGAAGCTGCAGTACATATGCAGGAGCCTGTACGTGGCGCTGTAACTTCCTCCACAAAAGCAGCGAAGAAGCATGGTTGTCATGGTTGCCCTTCTGTTTATTCTCCGCGGTGGGGGCCGAGGGAACCGGGCAGAGTTTTTCGCCAGTCAACGTGTATTAAAGTTTAAATCTTCCGACAAAATTATAAAAGTGCCGGTCAAAGGTCTTCTTTGTTATTTATTGAGCTTTAAAACAAATGAATAACGAATCTATATAATATAATAATAATATACACGGAGCCTCTCTTTTTCCACCTTCTCTTCGGACAGCGTCAGTGTCTGTCTCATGCAGCAGCTGATCCAGTAATGAGTGACCCGGCCGACAGTAAAAATAAACATATTTATAACTAGTTTAGGTAGTTTGAGAGGTGTCTCCGTCCTGTCAGATTAGACTTCACTCGCGTTTATGTCCATATCGAGAGAAAGATAAATAATCTGAATTCAGTGTGCAGTTTACTTTGACGCGGGTGAGCAGCAGAGGTGGGGAGAGGCGGGGCTATTGCCTCATCATTATCAGAAAATGATCATATAGGGCGTACACACGGAGCCGTTGGACCCCCCAGAGCGTTGCGTATGCCGTTCTATCCACCTTGGGACCCGTTATCGTTTCCGCAGTCGTTTTGTGCCGTATTCGGTCGTCCTCGTGTGGCCGAACGGTCTATAGCCTATGGCCCCGGCCACACGAGGACGAAAACGGTCGTTTGCGTTACTGTTTAGTGTCATATAGGCCAAACGAGGACGACTGAATACGGCACTAAACGACTGCGGAAACGATAACGGGTCCCAAGGTGGATAGAACGGTATACGCAACGCTCTGGGGGGTCAAACGGCTCCGTGTGTACGCCCTATACGCAAGCCCACCTTAACCTGCCATCAGGCCCTGGGGCTTTTTTTTTTTTTTGGTTTTGTAGTTTTTGGTTTTGGCCCCCTATTTAAACAACAATTCAAAGTCCTTTATAGCCTCGGCAGGCTCTGTGATCGCACTTCTCCACTCTGCCACGCGCGCCTGGTCCTCTCCTCCAGATGAGTGACGTATCGGGCCTCCCTCATGTATCTGTCCGGTTGCCGTTGGCTTCCCTCCACGTAGCAAGTCCTCGTCGTCCTCTCCATCTCCTCCATCATCCCTCTTGTCTGTTTTTCCTCTCCCGCTACTCCATCGCTATCAGAAGCAGACGGCCTACTTGGCTCCGAGGCCCCGCGGCTGGCACCGCTGCCGCTCGGTACATAACTCATCTGTCCTTCCTCCTCATCCTGGCCTACAGGTTTAAAACAACCTGTAAACTTCAGCATTTTTTGTAATAGCTGCTTGTCTCAAAACTACTTTTCCCTCAACAATTTCCTTTTCCGAGCGCCACTCTCAAACTTTTTCTTCTCAAACTTTTTCTCCTAAACAACCTTCATCTGTCACTCAATCACTCGCAATTTCAATACATCACATGTGAAACATATTCTCATTCTGATTGGCTGTTAAGTGGTGCCCACTGACTGTTTCGGAGTCATCATTTTTGAGAAAAATCTCTGGAATCCATCGATCTGATTGATTAGCGGAGCAAATGATCAAAATACTACGGAGGGAAGATATTTTCGTTTGGATTACTGGTCTGGGGGAAGCTCACAAGTGTGTGTGTGTGTGTGTGTGTGTGTATATGTGTGTGTGTTTGTGTATTTTTGTGTTTGTGTGTATTGTGTTTGTTTCCCGGGGAAAACACTCACGAGAAACACCGGCTGTTGTCATGCCTGCTGTTAGTATTATGCCGAAGCTTCAAAGTTGTATTTATCATCTGAATTTGCCGAAACAAGTTTAATATTCTGAAAGCCAAGACTTTGTTTATTTGAAAACCAGATGAAAACAAACTGTCACGGACAGTGGCGTAGCCACCATAGGGCCAGGGTGGGCCCAGGCCCACCCAGTTTACTCATTGGCCCACCCTGAGAAAGCTTCGGTGTCATTTAAAAAAAAAAAATGTTTTTTATTTTTTTTAATTACTTTATTATTATTATTATAAAAAAAAGTATTCACCCATTGAGAATATCCAAGAATTCAAAGTGAAATTCAAGTGAACAAATATCGAGTTTAATTAATGTTGTATGTGTTTTATCCTCTGAACCGAACTCATTTACAGTAAAAACTGATTGTTGGTTCCGGCGCGCGCCATAATAACGTGAGAGAGGCAGAGAGCTGCCTGAAAAATAAATGATGGCTCAAAGTTCACTAATGAACTTTGATTTAAAAAAAAAAGCCAGACTCCAAGAAGAGCCCCCACTGCCCTCATCTAGCAGCAATCTATACGATCATTTTCTGATAACGATGAAATAGCCCCGCCTCCCTCTCCCCACCTCTCCCTCTCCCCACCTCTCCTGCTGTTGGGCTGTCAGAAGAAAAACAATGTTAACGGAAATTCTGCTGCACGGTTCCCTCGTCCCTTGGAAAAGGTGGAGAGGTGGGTGTTTTTCATTTGCTGGTGGACAGTCCGGAGAGATATACACAGGGTTGGGTTGTAACGGAATACATGTAACGGCGTTACGTAATCAGAATACAAAAATCAAGTGTATTCAGCTGGCGTTACATTTGAAAAATGAGTAATCTGATTACACTTTCGTAAACCTGAAGTGAATACATTTTGGAATACTTATTGGAATTATTGGTGGAAAAGTTTCCTCAGAAAATGTAATATTCATTGCTGGCAGAACCAGGCCCGGCTCCAGGACGAAATGACTGAGGGGGCTGATAAAAAATACGAGGGGGCGATTTTTTTTTCACAACAACGAAAAATCCTGGCAATGTAATGAATTGACACACCAAGCGTTTTTCCTTCTCACTGCTATTCTGGATTGACCCCTCTCATTCTGTTCTTTTCCTCTGATCTTTAACGATAGATAGTACATTATCAGATGGCTGCACTTTGGTTAACAGACTAACATTGATTTCCTCAATGTATAAATTTACAGGCTCTGTAATTATACCATAACCGTTTCTCCTCTATCCCTTAACTCGTCTTCTTATCAGATTTACTATCTACTCTATATCAGGATTAAAAAACAAATAATCTGGGGATTTTTTATTTCCAGGATTGAATGTTCAAATCAAGGCCTAAAACCTGGCATTTCATAACAAAGTGACTAATATATAAACCAAATGTAATATTAGATCAAATACTACACCAAATGGACAGTCCCCTGGTTTGTCTCTAACTGCCATGAGACAAATCAGATCAATGTTCCAAAATCCGTCACTAGATGTCGCTCATTGTCCCGATACGGTCAGAGCCGGCCCGACCCATTAAGCGACATAAGCAGCCGCTTAGGGCCCCGCAGCCACTAAGGCCCCCCCTAGCAAAAAAATGAAAAAATAATAATAATCTCAGTACACCGTCGCCGTGATAAGTGTGTTTAATTAATTGTGTTAATATGCCTAGATTGCCTACTCTCAAAGTCATGTATTATATTATTGAGTCAATCATATATAATACATTAACCGTGCTTTACCTGAACCTCATCATGACACTAGAGAGGACGGCAGGACTGACGGCAGGATTGTAATTTCCCGTGTTCAGTGAATTCAAAGGCAAGACACCACCAGACCAACCAGAGAGCTGCATGGAAATGTAATTGCTATAGCAACTCCAACAATTGGCCTAGCAACGGCTTAGCAACCCCATTGTTTTGTTATGAAAATGCATCTATATATATTTATACACATTCTCGCGAGATCTATCAGGGGTCGTTGTAAGTTAAAGCGTGAACTGTTACTTGGCTAATGTTGTTATAATTCTCAGTATGTGAACACAGATCGAAAATGGAAAGATTTCTCACAAGTCGCTAGTCAGTGTAAATGACCGCGATCTCCAACGGAGCCGGACATCAGTGTCTGTCTGTTTGCGGTGTGGTTAAATGCCACAGCATGCCAGTTGAAACAGTG